AAGTTTATTTTTTCGTTTCTTAACGTTTTAAAAAAAAATAAAAAACAATTATTGTTATTTTGATAAACTTCTCATATTAAATTTAATGTGTTTATATCAGAAGAAAAACTCATATTTTTTAAATTGAATCATTTGAAATATAACTAAATCCCAACAATTAGGATTATAAAAGGATAAAAGGAAATTTAAAATACCGGTTGATTAATCTTTTTTAGATATTTTATCACTTAAATATCTTGATTGTTTTTTTTTATTTTTCTAAAAAAAAATTGTTTGGTATATTGTTATTGAGTTCAAATATTATTAAATTAATTCCAATTGGGTTACAGGTAATTGATTTCCAAAAGACACTTGAAATATTGTTTGTTCATTTTTTGTTTTTTTTCATTGGCACAATACCCAACCCTAATACCGGTTACTCATCAAAAATTTGATTTTTTAAAAACTTTTTTTATTTTATAAAATATCCAAGTTTTACACTTGATTATAAATACTTTTTTTTTATTTATTTTATTAATGTTGTATTATTAATTTATTCATTCTACACTTATTTATTTATTTATAAACTATAGAGTCTCTTTAACAGGATCACCACCCATAATAAAAAACAGAAAGTACTCTAGAAATTCAAATCAAGATTACAAAATCTGTCACAGTCCAAGCAATACAGAAATTAGATTTAAAGATCTTAGATATTTTAAATAACAAACAATAATAACAAAAAAAAAAAATCAAATAGATTAAAGCTTTAGTTAGTAGTAGGAGGTAATTGTATTACAATTGAAACAAACAAAAGGATTTATTATAAATCCTAGATTTAGAGTCTAAAAATGTCAAGTGAAAAGAGAATCTTAAAGGTTTTTGATCAAGAGGGTTTATATAAAACCATGGTTGTTGAACCTAGTACAGCTGCTGGTGAGATTTGTGAAAAGTTTGCCAAAAAGTTATTTCTAAATGAAAGTGATAGAGTTCAATTTAGTTTATTCATTTTGGAAGGGTCAGGTAAGAATCCATCTTCCTCATATCACCTCTTTATTTTGAATATTAATTCTTATTCTCAATTCTATTGCTACAGCAAAAACTAAATTAAAAGTAACAGATTTTCCATTTGATTTATTAGTTAAATTAGAAGGTAAATCTGATTTTAAATTTTGTTTTCTTAATCCAAATGGTGATTTTATAAGTTTTAAACCACCTACTACAACAACTACAACAACTGTCAATAGTAATAATAATAATAATAGTAGTACAGTTAATAAAACACCAAGTAAATCAGTATCTAGACCAGGTAAAGGAATGTCTGGATTTTTGTTAAGAAAAAGAGCAAATAGATTTGAACAAATTTGGGCAGTTAGTAAAGATAAGTATCTACGTGTTTATGAATCACAGGATGAAGAGACAATTTTATATGAACTGTCACTAGAGAATGCTGTAATTGAATTGAAACAGGGCGGTCAAAGTCAACAGATTCTATTGACTTTAGCAAACTCTGAAAGACATACATTTACTTCGGATAAGGAATCTGATATTCAAATGTGGGCTACAGAACTTCAATGTACAACTGCATACAGTGCATCTCAGACTGCACGTGTGGCTACACCTGCTATGGCATTTGTACCTACTGCCAGAGACCTTTCAGTTAAATTACAATCTAAATTAGAGAATAATCAGTACCAGTCTAAGGCAATATTGGCATGGGTCAACCATTGTCTATCAGGTCGACAAATTCAGTGTGCTGATGATATAATGACTGCATTCTCTGATGGTATGGTTTTGATTAATCTTATAGACCACCTATTCAAGAGGCAACTCAAGTACAGAAAAGGTAAATCCATCTATGAGATGCAGTATAATATCGACCATTGTTTGGATACACTAAAAGAGGTTGGTGCAGATTTTGGTAAACTGATTGCACAGGATATCATTGAATGTAAAGTTGTAAAAGTTGTACTACGTCTACTATGGTCGATTTTCATTGCCTTCACTACCAATGGAGAGAAAGAATATCAAGCAAAAGATAAACTCATTGGGTGGTGTGGTAGAAAAATTTCAGAATTTCAAAAATCATTAATTTGCGATTCACCTGCCTCTCTACAAAACCCACTGGTTTTTGCAGCACTTATCGCTAAACATCAACCATCGGCTTTGGATTACCAGTTGGTGAGTTCAAAGAAATCAAAAGTTGAACAAGCTCAATTGATTTTGAATGCTGCTCATGAGAAATTACAAATTCCAAAGATTCTAGAGGCATCTCATTGGCAAGATGATAATCTAGATGAAAAATCATTTTTACTCTATCTCTCAATGTACTATTATCAAATGTCTGGTGAGGATCGTGAGAAATCTCAATTGATTCTACGTGATAGTTTAGTATCTAAATCACCTGTTGAACCTGAAAATACTCAATCTGCTCGTGATAAACTCTTACAAGCTCAAAAAGAAAAACAAGAAGAAGATTCTAAAAAATCTCAACAGTTACAAGCTCAAAAAGAAAAGGAACGTTTAGAAAAGGAACGTTTAGAAAAGGAGAGATTAGATAAAGAAAAATTGGAAAAGGAGAAATTGGAGAGAGAAAGATTAGAAAAGGACAAATTAGAAAAGGAGAGATTAGAAATGGAAAGATTTGAAAAAGTTAGATTAGAACAAGAGAGATTAGAACAAGAAAGATTAGAAGAGGAGAGATTAGAACAAGAGAGATTAGAACAAGAAGAATTAGAAAAAATGGAAAGAGAGAGATTAGAACAAGAAGAACAAGCTCTAGAGTTACAAAGACAATTAGATCAACAAAGATTAGAACAACATCAACAACAGGAAGTTAATAATATTGATGAGAATGACAATCAAAATGAAGAAGTAGAAAAAGTAAATGAAGATAAAATTGAAGAAGAAAATTCAATATCAAATACTAGAAATTTGGAATATGATCAGGATGATGATAATCATTTTTCACCAGATAGTAGTAAATTAACATCATCAGCAACTATACCACAACAAGATATTATAAAAGAATATCAAAATCGTAAATTTACCAAACCATTACCACAACCAGTTCAGCCACAACATGTTGAACAAAAACCAATTAGTAATACTCATGATGTTATTGAAGAATATGAAAATATTGAAGAGTATGATGATGTAACTCCTGATTTAGAAAAATAATAATAATAATGATAGTAATAATACCAGTAGTAATAATAATAATAATAATAATACTATTGAAGAACAAAAAGATAGTAAACCAATTAGAAGAGCTATTGCTAGAATTTGTTTAGAAGGTTTTGGTGAAGTTTTATTCTGTTCGTTTGCCATTAATAATGATACTCTATGTGGTAAAGTAAAACAAATGGTTATTAAAAAAATGAAAGTACCTGCTTCTGAAGAACCTGAATACTTTTTATATGTAGTAAGAGATGGTCTTGAAAGAGTATTGGAAGATGATGAAATCTTACTGGAAGCTGAAGACAAAGTTGATAGATTTGTTTTCAAAAAGAATGACATTGAAAGAAGATATTTACTTTCAAATCATAGAGGTTAATAATTCATTTACACTCTCCTCAACCACCCTACCACTTCACCACCAAACTTATTTATTTTAAAAATGCAAAGACACAATATGTTTGAAAAAAACATTTTGTAATAATACACACTGTTATTGAAATTCATCAATTCAACAAAATATTAATAATAACAAAAAAAAAACATTAATTAACCTTCTCTCCTCTATATATATAATTTATTTACATACAAATAATAATAAAATTATAAAATTATATTACACTATCTCTTGTAATAGTTTTATTTCTCTTTCGGAGATCATAATAGAAATACATTAAAAATATTGAAACACTTTGAGCTATGCTATTTATATATATAAAATAGGTCATTATTGAAACTGGTGGTATTCCAATTAACATTAATACTCCAACTACTCCTCCAAAAAAATTTAAATATTGTGATTGCAATGATACACCTTGCGTTGATTTTGATTTATAACTAACTATTAATTGTGGCAAATGACTAAGTACTTGTGTTATTGGTTTAATTGAATTGGTTGTATCTATATTCAACATCTACTGTTAAATCTATAATTTTGACATTTATCTTTATCTAAAATAAACAAAGTACATACACATTGATTTAGGATATAATCTACCCATTAGTAATGGTAAAAATGGGAATAAAATCCAGAGTAGATATTTTGTATTTTTATCATAGATTGAAAATTGATACATAAATGTGCTGTGTTGAACTACATTGATGAGTCCATAAAAGAATATAGGTAATGTCTCACCTGTAAGCCAACTATTTACCAACAGAAATGAGGCACCAATTAATTTGATGATTATACCAGATGATGAGAATCCCTGGGTAGATTTCCTCTGGTAGTTTAGTTTCATTTGTGGTAGATATTGTATTGCAAATGCTATACTAGATAGAAATCCTAATGATTGATAATAATATTTAAAATCAATTTCTGTTGTTTCCATTCTTTTCTTATTTAAATTTTAGTGTAATCAACAACAATAATGTTGATGAATTTTCACATTCAAATATTTTGGGGTTTAGCTAAACATAAAAAAAATGTTGAGGTTGCAATTTAAATTTTTAAAAATTAAAAAAGAAATAGTTGTATTGTGTACAAACTCATCTATCATTGTTATATTGACGAAAAGATATTATATTCTTTAAATTTTGTATAGGTATAAAGGAACGACCCAGAGCTCTATTACAAAGAGATTAAATGTTAAGTTGAATACAACCCCTAATACCATTAATGAATTCAAGAGAGAACATCAAAAATAATGAAGGTGGAAATATAAAGGATGTGTGATGTGATGATGAAATGTGATGTGATATATAGGTGAGATCTGAGATATGTGAGATAGTACGATAAGGACTGTCGTTACGTCTACAAATTGTAACTTTTTGTAGGCCAAACTAAGCCCAAAAAGTCAAACTCTCAGCTCCCCGGGGCAAAAAAAAAATTTTCAAACAAAAGCTGGACGTTACGAGTATCGATCTCGTCATCTTTCGGAGTATTGAAATATTGCTGTATTGTTGCAAACCGAACGTGATACCATATTCACCAAACGCCCTTTACAATTATTCAACAAAATTTACTTCTCTATATGTACACCCAAATTGGGAAAAAAAAAAAAAAAAGAGCAGAATGGGAAAAAACATTCGGCCTAATGTCCAAACACTGGAGACTACCACAGTACCACTATAGAAGGTAAAACCAATTATATCCTCGATCAAATTTCAAATCAAAATGTTCACTAAGACTTGGTGCAAAAATAACAACCTAATACAAATTCTAATACCAGACCATTTTATGGCCCTTTTCAATGTACATAAATAAACTTTAGATCCAACTCCTACATGTTAGGGGTCTGGGAATAATGGTATCAATTGGTACGCCTTTAACAAAAAAATTAGGAAAAATGTAGATAACTATCTTATAAGTACTTTGGTACATCAAAGAATTTTACTTGAATTATATTCAAAATATCCAATAATCATAATAATAATATCTAAATCATCATTTACCATAATAATTTAATAAAATACATTCATGAATATGGTGAGATAAATAAAATGAAAGTTGTTAAGGAAGAATTATTTATCAAATAATAACCATTTATAGATAATTATTTATTTCATTTTTCAATGACAAGGATGTAATTGAGTAACTAGAATTGGATTCATTGAGATATAAGATGATTTCATTAGCATCACCGTAATAATCATCTGCAATCCAAAAAAAAGGCTCATATTGAAACTACATAATAAGACACTTATCCTTATAATCTTCATCTTGTTGATCATTATCTTTTTCAATGTTAGAAGAAAGCGCTAAAACAATTTCCCTATCAATAAAGTCCATTTCAAGAAAATCTTTTCTATTTTTTTGAACAGTATTTTTTTTTTGGTTTTCATACCAAAGTTGGGTTGTTGCAACTGGTGACCCAATAACAGAACCAAATAATAAATTACGGAGTTTATCTGAAGTGGTTTTAACTTCACTATATCCGTCTTCACAAATAATACCCAAAAGACAATTAAGAAAGTGTTGACAATTCCAAAATACCTTTTGACAGTTTCCTTAACAACAATAATATTAGTAATATGAATTAAGATAATTTAATTAATGAACTAACTTACCAAATTTTTGGATCAAAATATTTCCAATATTCATTATTTCAAAAGAGTTGAATTTTGTTTTGCCAAGTTGGAACAAAGACTTCTTTTTTAAGTCAATGTCTGCTGCTGACTTCAATTCACATGTTACAGAAGTTGGTCTATTTGTTTCCATGTCCAGTTTAAATACTAAATGTATGATGGTAAGTTGTGTGAAGATGGCCCAATGAGCATAAATTGATTCTGAAGGATTATAACAAAGTCCTTGTATATCGACCAATACAACAGGTCGAGGATTTAATAATGAACCAATGAATTCTGTTTTGATTTCTTGAAGTGTACTATCGCTTATAGTAAAAACAGGTAAACTAGAGTTATTACCAGTTAAAGACATTTTAGGTAAATATGATATCTAAAAAAATAGATAATTAGTGTGAAAAAAAAAATATATTAGTTTTTGAAGGGCTTGTTTTGAAGTTGATGGGGTGTGGTAAATGTGTTTAAAGGGTGAAAAATTTCATCAATTGTTATAATTAAAACCTCTTTTGAAAATTGGATGTAAGGAGATGAAATTGGAGATATTTTTTTGTAAGAAAATTTGAAAAGATAGACAGGACTCCCTTTGAAAGGAAGTGTTTTCTATATGTTTCAGTTTATTATGTGATTGGTTTATTTTATGTACATTAATTTAAATTTTAATAGCAGCCAATTCACCTTCAATGTAAGTTAAATGAGCCTATATAATTAAAAAAAAAATTAATATTTTAAGTTTAAAATTGGATAATATATATTTATGATTAAGATGTAATATACCTTTACTAGGAACTTCTAAGATAGCGTATTTCCCTTGGGGTGGGAGACCAGCAATTTTATCATTAACATATTTAGATGAATCTTGTTCCTTCTTTTGTTTCTTTTCAAGCTTGGCCTTCTTTTTATCTTCTTTTGGTAGCTTTTCTTTCTTTTCTTTACCCTCTTTACCTTCTTTAGTTTTCTTTTCGTATTTGACTTTCTTTTCTTCTTTTTCTGACATGTTTAAGCTAATTAATGTGTATACAACAAACAATTAAAATAAAATGAACTAACAAAAAATATTTTAGTTTTTATATTAAATGTTTTAAGTGTTTCTTTAATTAAAATTAATTAATTTTGGGTGGCTCAAAAAAAATTAAAATAATCTATAAAGACACTTATTTAATTAAACGTATTATTAAAAGCTTCCATAGTAATTACATGAATTTAAATAGACATTATTATGAATTATTAGACATCTATCAACTCAACAAAATTAAAATTTTTTAACTTTTTAAACATTATAATATTGAAAAAATGTTGGTACCAACTATTATTATTATTATTATTTTTTCGATAACTATAATAACTATTTTGAACAATTAAATTATTATTGTTACTAATTATTTAAACTACATTTATACTTAATCATTTGGAATTTTCAAACGGAAATTTGTATCGCAATTTCCTGAGATGTTCTATTGAATTATTTCTATATATTTATTATTGGAATTGATCTTTTGAATTCAAAATAATAAATTATAATATATAATATAGTATATAATATAATATAATAATTATATATATAAAAATTTATTATTTTAGTTATTATAGTTATCATAAAAAGATATTATTAATTAAAAAAAAATTATTGATAGATTTTTCACACCCACAAAAAAGGAGAGCGTGAACACCTTCTGTATTTTATCTTTCCTCATTAAATTAAATAATAGTTCATTTATCAATCACAATTTATAAATTATTTCCTTAATTATAACAAATTTATTCTTTACAAAAAAGAATACTCTGAATATTCGGATCCTCCGGGACCCTATAATCACATTGATCACATTTAAACTATTATATTTTTTTCAAACTATTATTTATCAATTATAGTACCAATCTTGAAATTGTTAAAAGCAAATGCATCAACCTGATCAAATTCCAAATCAAAATGTTATGTTGGTGTAAAAATATCAAACTAATTCAAATTCAAATACCTGGTTTCATGGACCTACTTAATGTAAAAAAATAAACTTTAGATCCACATCCTACTTGTTAGGATCTGGGCACAGGGGTATCAATTGGTTAAAGCTCCGATTCGGACCTGATTCGAATAAAATTTTTAAAAGTGTATTCGATTTGGTGAATACGAATCGATTTATAAATTGTAATATTACAATTATGAAAAAGAGGATGGAGAATCAAAACTGGTGAAGTGGAATGTACAGAATTATAAAACCTAACTTGTCAATTCTTTATCATTATGAATTATGAAAATGGATTGCTATTTAGAGTTTGAAGATTTCTTTTACTTCTCTAAATTCAGTACATATCTAGTTATCATCCCAAAATAAATGATCAAAATGTTGTTTGATATATTGCATGGTGACCCAATCATTAATTCAAACTTTTTTTTAAAATTATCAAAATATTTATTTCAATTTTGAATTAAAAAAGGAGTGCCTTTACCATTTTCCAAATATGATTTTAAACTATCAATGAATTGTTTCCAACCATTTGAACAAACTTGATAGCATTCAATTTCAGAATTTAAACCAATATGTGTAAGAATGAGTTTTGTATTTTGTTCTTGTTCATTTATTTCCCATACTATTGTGGTACCTATCCATTCAGTTTGGTTTTTAAATTCAGGTAGAGCAATCAATGAGTTTTTGACATACCAAACTACTTTGTGATGGTTTAATTCTTGTACTTGCATTGTTTTATAAACATTATCTCCAAAACGCACAGTAAAAATTACATCTTGTTTATCTGATGATCCTTCAAACATTTCTGTCCACCAAAGAGGGATTTCATTGGTTAAAGCTTTGTATACTTTGTCTACTGAAGTATTAAGTAAAATTGTATTATTATAATTTACCACTGTAGTCATTCTAAAAATTTTATAATATTCTTTAATGAAATTTTATATATGTTTGAGTTTAAATTTATGAGTAAGATTTTTTCCAGGAAAATAATCTGAGTTTCAGGTTCCTTCATTATAATTTTTTTTTGGAGGGAAAAGATGTGTTGATCAGAAAAAATACCTTTAAAAAAAACTGTTTTTTTTTAAATAATCAATATGATCAGATACATTATCATAAAAATTTTAAATTTTTTAATATATCAAATAAATAAAATTCAACCAACATCATTAACAATACTTTGTAAATTTATATATAAATGCAGTTTGGTTTCAAAAGAATGGAAAAAAGAAATTATACCAAGATTATCATTATTAGAATTAATAACACATGATAATGACTTTGATGCATTATACACAATGAAAAAATTAGGATTTGATTTTGGATTAGTTCTAGGTAAATCTGATGTACCTGATTATAAATTTCCATTTTACAAATGTAGAGAGATTATTGATAAAATATCTCATCTCTATTTTTGTTTTCCACATAGTTTTATGACTATTGGAGATGTAGTACAATCAACCATAGTTTATCAAAATAATAATAATAATAGTAAATTAACATCAATAGATGTTAGATCAAATGATTTTGAAACTTTTAAAGAAATGTTCGAAGAGATTAAAAATAATAATAATAACCAAAGTAATTTAAAAGTTTTACAAGATCAAGTAAAGGAATTAAACTTAAATGTTAATTTTCAAAATGTAGAATTTGATAAATTGATTTTATTGATTACAAAATATGGTTTTAATAGAAATATTGAAAAACTTAGTTTTAAAACTATGTATGAACTATCTAGTCATATGGAATTAAAATCATTTCCAAATCTAATGGAATTACATTTACTAAATATTAAAGTACCCAATAGTGATATTATAGCATCATTAATAACAGAACATTTACAATTAAAGATTTTATATATACAATTTGTGCAAATACAAACACCTACACACCTCAATTCTGTAAAACCAATAACAACATTTGATTGTATTTTAAAGGCATTAGAAAAGAATGGT